GAATTTGGGGTCAAAATTTGGGGTCAAAGCAGCTCTGGGGGAGAAATTTGGGGGAAAAATTTGGGGGCACAAGTGGGGCTAGAGGAGGACACTGTGGGCACAGGAGCTGTAAAGGAGAAATTTGGGGGCACAGCGGGGGCTGTAAAGGGAATTTGGGGGTAAAATTCGGGGTCAAAGTGGCTCTGGGGGAGATCTGGGGGAGAAATTTGGGGGCACAGGAGCTGTGGGGGAGTATGAGGGAGAAATCTGGGGGCTGCAGGAGATCACTGCGGGTCACAGAAGCTGTGAGGGAGAAATCTGGGGGCACATCGGGGGCTGTAAAGGGAATTTGGGGGTAAAATTTGGGGTCAAAGCAGCTCTGGGGGAGCTGTGAGGGAGAAATTTGGGGGCACAAGAGATCACTGTGGGTCACAGAAGCTGTGAGGGAGAAATTTGGGGGCACAGCAGGGGCTGTAAAGGGGAATTTGGGGGTAAAATTTGGGGTCAGTGCGGCTCTGGGGGAGCTGTGGGAGAGAAATTTGGGATTACAAGTGGTACTGGAGGAGAACACTGTGGGTCACAGCAGCTCTGGGGGAGAAATTTGGGGGCACAATGGGGCTGCGCAAAAGCTGAGAGGGATCCTGAGAGGAACCCTGGGCAGCTTTACAAACCCCACCGGGCTCCTCAGAACCCGCACGGGAGCGCCAGGGAAGGCTCCGAGAGCACTGCCCGAGTTCTGAGGGGTTCTGGGGGACTCTGAGGTGCTCTGATGGGCTCTGAAGGGTTCTGAAGGGCTCTGAGGGGTTCTGAGGGGCTTTGAGAGGTTCTGAGGGGTTCTGAGCGGCTTTGAGGGGTTCTCAGGGGCTCTGAGGGGCTTTGAGGTGTTCTGAGGGGCTTTGAGAGGTTCTGAGGGGTTCTGAGGGGCTCTGGGGGACTCTGAGGGGTTCTGGGGGACTCTGAGGGGTTCTGAGGGGCTTTGAGAGGTTCTGAGGGGTTCTGGGGGACTTTGAGGGGTTCTCAAGGGTTCTCAGGGGCTCTGAGGGGTTCTGAGGGGCTTTGAGAGGTTCTGAGGGGCTTTGAGAGGTTCTGAGGGGTTCTGAGGAGCTCTGAGGGGTTCTGGGGGACTCTGAGGGGTTCTGAGGGGCTTTGAGAGGTTCTGAGGGGTTCTGGGGGACTTTGAGGGGTTCTCAAGGGCTGTGAGGGGCTTTGAGGAGCTCTGAGGGGGCTCTGAGGGACTTTGAGAGGCTCTGAGGGGTTCTGAGGGGCTTTGAGAGGCTCTGAGGGGTTCTGAGCGGCTTTGAGGGGTTCTCAGGGGCTCTGAGGAGCTCTGGGGGGCTTTGAGGGGTTCTGAGTGGGCTCTGAGCAGCTCTGAGGGGGTTCTGATGGGCTCCGAGCAGCTCTGAGGGGGTTCTGACGGGCTCTGAGTGGGTTCTAATGGGCTCCGAGCGGCTCTGAGGGGGTTCTGATGGGTTCCGACCAGCTCTGAGTGGGTTCTGACGGGCTCTGAGTGGGTTCTGACGGGCTCCGAGCGGCTCTGAGGGGGTTCTGACGGGCTCTGAGTGGGTTCTAATGGGCTCCGAGCGGCTCTGAGGGGGTTCTGACGGGCTCTGAGGCGCTCCGGGCGAGGCCGCGGCGCGGGAGCCGCCCCCTCACCGCGGCGGGGCGGGGCGAGCCGCCGCGAGGCTCTCCCGCCGCCCCGCCCGCTCCCCGCCGGCTGCCGGGCGGGTTCCCCCGGCCCGTTCCGCCCGTTCCTCGCCCCCCACCGCCCTCCCCGTGACCGCGCTGCCCGCCGGGCCCCGCCGCCCTCACCCATCGCCGGCCGCCGCTCCGCCTGCGCCGGGCACAATATGGCGGGCGGGGCGCGACGGCGGCCGGCGCGGGACAAGCTGGAGCGGAGCGCGAAGGCGAGGCCACGCCCCTCATCTGCATAACCACACCCACACGAACACACACAACCAATCGCCTGCGTAACCACGCCTTCATCTGCATAACCACGCCCAGCACATTCATACCCACACTCATCTACATAGCCATGCCCCTCATCTGCATAAACACACCCCCTCAACTGCACAGCCACACTCCCTCATCTGCATAACCACACCCCTTAACCGCATAGCCACACCCATCTGCATAACCACGTCCCTAATCTGCATATCAACACTCCCTCAACTGCATAGCCACGCCCCTCACGCACAGCCACACTTCCTCATCTGCATAACCACACCCCCTCAACTGCATATCCACACTCCCTCATCTACATACCCACAACCCCTCATCTGCATAACCACGTCCCTAACCTGCATATCATCACTCCCTCATTTACATAGCCGCGCCTCTCATCTGCACAGCCACAGTCCCTCATCTGCATAGCCGCGCCCCCTCATCTACATAACCACGCCCACCGGGCAGCGCGGGACCACCCCCGGTGTCACCCATCCCCGGTGTCACACCCAGTGTCACCCACCCACGGTGTCACCCACCCCCGGTGTCACACCCAGTGTCACCCACCCCCGGTGTCACCCCCAGTGTCACCCACTCCCGGTGTCACACCCAGTGTCACCCACCCCCGGTGCCACCCATCCCCGGTGTCACCCACCCCCGGTGTCACACCCAGTGTCACCCATCCCCTGTGCCACCCACCCCCTGTGTCACCCATCCCCGGTGTCACCCATCCCCGGTGTCACACCCAGTGTCACCCACCCCCGGTGTCACCCACCCGCGGTGTCACCCACCCCCGGTGTCACACCCGGTGTCACCCATCCCCGGTGTCACACCCGGTGTCACCCACCCCCGGTGTCACCCACCCCCGGTGTCACACTCAGTGTCACCCACCCGCGGTGCCACCCATCCCCGGTGTCACCCATCCCCGTTGTCACACCCAGTGTCACCCACCCGCGGTGTCACCCACCCGCGGTGTCACCCACACCCGGTGTCACCCACCCGTGGTGTCACCCATCCCCGGTGTCACACCCAGTGTCACCCACCCGCGGTGTCACCCACACCCGGTGTCACCCACCCCCGGTGTCACCCCGGGAACCAGAGCGATCCCGGTTTTCCCGGCAGCTCCTCACTCAGGGAATCGGTAACCGCTGGCTCCAGACTCCGTGTGCTGCTCTGGGGGCTGGGACGCTCCTGGAGGGGATTTGGGCTCCCCACACAGCGCCTTCGGTTTGGGGGTTTGGGGGATTTTGGGGTTTTTCCCCCAATTTTTTTGCTCGGTTTTGTGGGAGTTGAAAATTCAGCAATGATGGTTGGATGCAGATGAGAGTGAGCCCTGCCTAGGCTGGTGGGAAAAGCGGCCCTGGAATGGATGGATTTGCACAAAGTGAAAATTTTGCTTCTTTTTTTTCTGGCTGCCCAAAAAAAGGGAGGTTTGGTGTGGCCATCCCAAGGAATGAGTGGTGAGGATGGGACACAGAGCTTGGAGGGCTTTTCCAGCTGAAATCCATTCTGGGACGGTGCAAAAGCACCAAAAATCAGGAGTGGCCAGACACCTGATGCTCTAAAAGTACCAGGGTATCCCTAAAAATCCAGTCAGGCTAAAAAAAAATGGATCTGGAACGTGATGGATGAACCTTTTTTGGTCCAAAATCAGTGGTAAAATCCCAAATTGAGCGGTAAAATGAGGAAACAGTTTATATTGCAGTTTTCCAACAGGCAGCTGGAGATCCAAGGGAGTTCCCAGGCTCCAAGGGAGGCTCTGGTGTTCTCCAACACTCCCAAAAAAACCTGGCAGATTCCCATTTTCCATTCACAGAACATAGGAGTTCCAACTGATCCTCTGGAATCGGCTCCCTCTTGGCAAAAAGGAGCAAAGGGAGCGTGGAGAAACATTCCCATGGAAACAGATGGAAGGCTCAGCTGGGCTGTGCTCACAGCAGGGGAAAATGAGGGAAAATGAGGGGAAAATGAGGGGAAAATGAAGAAAAAATGAGGGAAAAATGAGGGAAAAATGAGGGGAAAATGAAGAAAAAATGAGGGAAAAATGAGGGAAAAATGAGGGGAAAATGAAGAAAAAATGAGGGAAAAATGAGGGAAAAATGCGGGGGAAAACATCTCCATGCCATGGACACTACCATGGAATTCCTGCCTGCAGGAATTCCTGCCCCTCACCATCCACTGCTCATCCCAGGTGCTGCAGGTTCCATGAAGGAGAAATTCCTGATCCATGGAGGAAAAATTTCCCTGATCCATGAAGAGGAATTCCTGATCCATGAAGGTGGAATTTCCTGATCCATGAAGAGGAATTCCATGATCTCCATGAAGGAGAAATTACTGATTCATGAAAAGGAATTCCTGATCCATGAAGGAGAAATTTCCCTGATCCATGAAGGAGAAATTCCCTGATTCATTAAGGTGGAATTCCCTGATCCATGAAGTTGGAATTTCCTGATCCATAAAGGAGAAATTTCCTGATCCATGAGGGAGGAATTCCCTGATCCGTTAAGGTAGAATTTCCATGAAGGAGGAATTCCCTGATCCATGGAGGAGAAATTCCTGATCCATGAAGGAGAATTCCCTGATCCATGAAGGAGAAATTCCTGATCCATGAAGGACAAATTCCCTGAGAAATTTTCCTCCCCAAAAGCTCCAGCTGGAGCATTCCCTGCTCTCCTCTCCTCTCCTCCTGGGTCTCTCCAGGCTGCTGGAACCCCCCTGATCCCAAATTTTCTTTGGGAGAGCAGCAGGAGGGGTTCAGGAGGTTTTTTTTGTTTTTTTTTTCCCCTTGGCTCTGCTGGTGGCAGATGCTCCCACAGAAAATTCCCATTTGTTCAAACGTGGACAGGGAATGCAGCTTGGCTGGAATTTTGGAGGTAAAATATCAAACCACCGTGCTTTCAGTGAGGCTGAGAGGGGAAAAAAAATCCCAGAAAAGCTGTGAAATAGGGAAAAAAAAATCCCAGAAAAGCTGAAATTCCCATCCTTGGAATGTCGGGATGGTGGAAGGTGGCCCTGGAGCAGCTTGAAGGTCCCTCCCAGCCCAGAGCATTCCCTAAATCCACGATTCCATGGAATGAAGCTGGGAGCCACGGGCTTTATTGAAATAATCCAAACAGAACGTGGAAAACGGGGGGAAGGAACGGGCAGGGGATGAGGAAAAGCTGCTGGGGACACCTCTGGAATTGCAGCTGGGGGGTTGGTTTTCCTGGGATTCACTGCCCACCGAGGACAAAATCCAGGATTGTGGCAGCTCAGAGCAAGGCCAGGCTGGGGTTCTGCACCCCAGGGCTGCACTGGAGGCTGGAGAAGCTGTTCCCATTTTGGGAAAATGGGAATGCTGAGCCACGGAGCAGGAGGGTGCTCCCAGAGCCAAGTTTCTCCTGACAAAACCAGGATTTTGTTGGGAAACATTCCCAGAGAGGAGATGTGAACAGAGGCAAGAACAACGGGGGATTTTCTCTGGGTTGGGAGGGGTCTTGCCCAAAATCCTACAAATGACAAATGTGGATGAGCCCTTTGGGAAAACAGGGGGAGGAGAAGATCCCTGGCACTTGGGAGCAGAATTCCAGCAGGAAAGGGAAGGTTCTCCAGGTTCCTGAGGGGACTCAGACTGCCAGGAATCTCCATCCCTCCCAAATCCCTGCATCACCCTGGAATGTCTGGCTGATTCCAATGCTGGGGGGTTATTTTGGGATCTCAGGTGGGCTCTGGCAGCCTCCGGGGTTAAATCCTGCCTGGAAAAGTGCTGGGAGAGGGAAGGAAGGGGGGAAGGAGCTGTCTGATCCAAGGAATGCTTGAAAAACACTCCCAGCACATCCAGTTGTTTCAATATATTCACATTTCCATCCTTTCCCATCACCATCCCACAAAAAAAAACAAGGCACGAGCTGGGTTATTCCAAAGGCAGCATCACCAGATCCATTTGGGAATAAATTGCTTCCTAAGAGATGATTCTCTAGCAAATCTTTTCCACTTGATCTAAAAGCTGGGCCTATTAGGAGAGAAATGGGAAAGATTGGTGCATTGCCATAAAAAGAAATAATAAAAAAATTGATGTTCCAATTGCACTGGAAATGAAGATGGATTTGATAAGGACAAATCCAGGCCTGGTATCATTTCCCTCCTGGCAGGAGGGAAATTCACTTTTCAAGTGCAGGGATGCAGGGTGAATTCCCTGCTGCAGCATTCCCACAAATTGGCTCTTCCCTGTTCCTGATGCTCCTGAGGTAAGAGGGGCTCCTTTGGGAGCTTTATGATCCACTATAAAATTAAATTTATCCTTTTATATCCCCTGCTCAGCTTGGATTTGGGCTTTTCCAGCATTTCAAGGGGGAATTGTTTGGTGATTTGGGCTTTTCCAGCATTTCAAGGGGTGATTCCTTGGGGATTTGGGCTTTTCCAGCATTCCAACGCTGGATTCTTTGGTGATTTGGGTTTTTTCAGCATTCCAAGACTGGATTCCTTGGGGATTTGGGCTTTTCCAACATTTTAAGCATGGGTTCTTTGGGGATTTGAGTTTTTCCAGCATTTCAAGGGGGAATTCCTGGGTGATTTGGGCTTTTCCAGCATATTAAGCACGGATTCCTTGGTGATTTTGGCTTTTCCAGCATTTTGAGGCTGGATTCCTTGGGGATTTGGGCTTTTCCAGCATTTCAAGCCTGGATTCCTTGGTGCTTTTAATTTGTGGAGCTCAGGGGCAGCATTCTGCTGTTCCCAAAGGAATCCCACGGGGAAATAGGGAAGGAATTGTGTCCTTTGCTGACGTGATCACCCCCAAACCACTCCCAGCCATGCAGCAAAGAGAATTTTTATTTTTTTTTTTAGGGAAGCATCTCCTCTGCTCCATCCCTGGAAGCGCTGGAGCAATTTGGGACGGGGGAAGGAATTGGGAAATTGAATCCCAAAAAGCCCAGTGGGAGATTCCCTGGCAGGATTCCATAAAAACCAATCCCAGCAGCCACATCCCCATTCCAAAATCCGTGGATGAGAAGTGGAAGTGGAAAGATCTGCAGCCTGGAATTTTCGTGGGTTTTGGGAATTCCTGAGCCATTCCCAGACCCTGCCCTGCTCCTGGAGCATAAAGGAATAAATCCCAAAGTCTGGGAAGCACCTTCCAGGCCTGCCTGGGATTCCATGAAATCTCTGCATCCCAAAATCCTTTAAAATCCCCTAAAAACTCAGCTCAGGAGCCTCCTCCACGCTGTGACCTGAGGGAAGCAGCTTCCCCTTTTTATTTATTTTATTTTATTTTATTTTTTTTTTGGTGTGGATCCAAGGAAAAACCAGAATTTTGCAGCTCAGATGGTGCCACCCCCACGTTGGGAACTCAAACAAGGGGTTGTAAAAAACCAAAAAAAATCCCCCAAAACTCACCCAGCTGGCGCTGGCCCTGCTCCTCCTCCTCCTCCTCACCCCGTTGACTCACAGCCCCAAAATTCCTGCAAATCAAAGAAAAAAATCGTGAGGATCCTGACAAAGAGATTAAAAGATAAAAAAATTAAAAAATTAAAAAAAAAAAAAAGGGAAAGGAAAGAAAGAGATTCCTGCATGCAATTACACATGAAGGAAAAACATGCAACTTCAGCTGAGCTATGGACATTTCACAGGAAACAGCAATTCTGGGGGGGCTAAAAATTGGTATTTTCAAACAACTGAGCAGAATTTGGGGTTTTTTTGGGTTTTTTGTTGTTGTTTTGGCAGTAGCAGGACTAGCTTGGATTCATGTGCATTTTACATCTTTTATCCTTTAAAAAATCCAGGATATTTAAATTTTGGCCCACATTCCATCCCAGTGCATCTGCCAAGGGCACATTATTAAAAGTTATTGCTAATTTATGCCACGTGGGTCGGTTTAAACGTTTATATTTAAAATTTTTTTTTTTTTTTTGGTGGGTTTTTTTTTCCCCTTTTTACATTAAATTAACACCTGAAGGGTCGGCTGGGTAAAAAGTTTACGTCACAGGTTTATGGAAAAGAGAAATGTGCTATATTAAAATCAGACATTTAGGTTACCTTTTTTTGGGCTTTGCGGTTTACACATCCTGATTTCTCCTGCTGATAATTTTCCTTTAAAAGGGGGGGCATAGGCTGATCTTTTCATCACATTATGCCCTGAAAGCTGACTCCAAACCAGTGTTGAAAATTCAGTTATTTGCACTTTAATAACAATCTACAAATACAACTTTTGTGTGTTTTTTATAATTATTTTTAAATATTCCCCTTGGTTCATGCGCTGCAGGGTTTTTTTTTTTTTTTTTTTTAAAATTCTATTTTTCACCCCCGAGCAGTTTAATCCTCTCCCCCTAAAATTCCAAATTCACCTGTTGGATGCGAAATAACAAACCATGGAACATTGATTTTTAAATAGAAATATATTAAATATCTCTACGTCCACACCCTCTCCGAAAGGATTTAAGGAGCAGCTGCAGCACCGTCCACCAACAAAAAAAAATTGATTTTTAAAGTGGTTTTTCCAAGAAAAAGCTGCTTGGAAGCATCATCTTAGCCAAGGGGGGGTTAGAGAAAGCAATTCCTTGGAATTCTCAGCATTCCTACTTAAACCTCTGGAATATTCTCTGAGGCCACCTGAAATCTGAATCATCAAGCAAAGAACCACCAAACGCTTCCCAAATTCAGATTTCTGCCTCAAAACTGCTTTCAGCAACTTCCAGGGGGTGAAAAACAATTTTTTTTGGGGGGTCTTTTTCATATATTTTTTTAAAATAAATTTTTGTTTTGTCATGAGAATTACCAAAAAACCACCATTTTTTTTTTTTTTTTTAGAAATGCCTCCACGGTTTTAAAAGAAATAATAATAATAATAATAATAAATAAAAAAGAGAAATTAAGTTTAGCATGGATTTAAAGTTGTTTGGAAAAAAAAAACCAAAACCTCCAAAAACAAATGACAATTCATCACATTTACTTTGATTAAAAAAGGACTAAACTTTATTGACAGATTGAACAGACATTTTTGACACGTTTTGAGCTACCTAGTTAGGCAGACTTTACACAAAATGTAGCATTTTTCTCTTCCAGAACAGAGTGGGAGGACAGAGTAACAAATCCAATTAGGACTTGATCTTATGTACAAAGTGAAATTTGGGATTGTTTTGTCTTTTTTTTGGGGTTTTTTTGTTTGTTTTTTACAGCTGCAGTGTCCCTTTTTATGCAAAGCTCGTGCTGAGATACACTTGAAGTGGCTGGGACTGCTCGAAATTTATTTTTTGGGGTGAGTTTGGAATTTTCAGCAGATTTTCTGCCCCAAAGGGCGACAAAAAATATGAATTTTACAGGCCTACCATGAAATATTCTTTCTATCAAACACTGGGCAATTAAAACCATATTTTGGGATTTTTTTTCCTTTAAGAATTGTTCATTTAGAATTAAACTAAAATCCCTTTCCACTGGAAAAATATTCCCAAGCATATCTCAACACTGCACGGGGGGCTAGATTTCAAAATCCACATAAGAAAAGTCAATTTTTTACCAACCTAATTTTTTTCCTTTTAAGTCAATTCTCTTTAGAAAATGCTATTTAATTTGTTTGGAGGATCCTTTGGGTTAAAATTTAAACTTCAGGATTCACCAGCAATCTCCTTTTAAAGGGTTGGCATCTGAAGTTATTTTTTTGTGGTTTTTTTTTTTTTTTTTTTTTTTTTTTTTTTTGTTTGTTTTTTTTTTTTTTTTTTTTTTTTTTTTTTTTTTAATGGTGGCAGCCACTACTGTTACATTATGATTTTAAATCTTTAAAAAATAACCCTGAATTTTGAAATGTAGCCTACTTTGGGATTCTGCAACTACAACCTTTAATGGGTTCCTTTAAAACAAACTTTAAAACTTTTAACAAAACCTTAATTTCAGAACTAAGCAAAGCACGTCTTTTTTTTTTTTCTAACATTTTTATTTTTTTTTTTTTTTTTTTTTTTTTTTTTTTTTTTTTTTTTTTTTTTAATATCTTAAAATTTTTTTTTTTTTTTTTTTTTTTTTTTTTTTTTTTTTTTT